GATCCTGATGTCTAGATGGAAGTTGCTGACACTCTGTATGTCTAGCTGGGGTTAGATATTCTTCATTGTGCAAATTAATCTCCATAATACAGTTAAACCTGTCTATAGCGCCCCCTCTAAATAACTCCATCCTCTCTATAGTGCCCGATTTTAACTACGTAGTACGATGCGATTTACATTAAAAGTGACCTGTCTATAGCACCCCTTCTCTATAGCACCCTATTTTGGTGAGTCCCAAGAGGGGGTGCTATAGACAGGTTTAACTGTACTCAAAATATCAAAAGCAATAAAACTACTTCTGCTGATTACAAAATGAATTGGTCACAGTTGCCATTCCTTTCCAACTCTGTAGTGTTAGACTGTCTATCTACAATATATAAATTAATAAATAAATAACCAATTATTTATTTAATTGAGTTTTGCAGCATGCTGTGGTTCAACTAAAACTCCCTCTTTGTTTCCTTCACATAATATTTTTACCTTTTCTAATTTTCCTTAGCATTTCTTAGCACTCTTAATTAAGCACTGAGGTGTTGTGTAATCCTCTTGGAACTTATCGGGTACCATTTAATTTCGCAGCTAGTAGCGAATCTACATTTGTTGTCAATGTTGTTGTTGTTTCTTATCCCCTTGTGTAAAGATTCCTTGAGTTCATGCTCCAAAATGATAAGCATGTTGTCAATGTGACTAACCTATGATGTTATCCTGGCTCTTTTACAATTCTTTTTACACATATCTGCTTTCATCTAAATCCATGATAGATCTTTTTTTTTTCTTTGGTCAATGTGTATCAAACCTAATATCAAATATAAGAAAATTGCGATATACTTTTATAAAAATATCTAAAAACCTTACGTAATAATGTGAAAAAAAATAGTACAAATGTGATATTGTACTGGGATAAGGTGCATAAATTAAGAAAAAAGGCCTCTCCTTATCGTGCAACTGAAAGTTGCTGATGGCTTGCGCCATCTATCGGAATAAATATCAACTATTTTTGTTGATTTTTAATTATTCCAGAATTGGCCAAATACCCATTCTTGATTAATCAAGAAAATGGCTCAAGCCATCAGCAACTTTCAGTTGCACAATAAGGAGATTCTTAACTTACGTAATAAGTTTCCTTATTAAAAACACCACAAGCTGCTTGACAGCTCTCAGTGTTTGTAATAAATAAACTTATTGTGTAAGATTTTTAGATATTTTTATAACCTAATGATAAATTTAAAATTATACCGCATAAGTTTCTTTTCTATGAAAAATCAATATTTACTATTTCTAACTTTTTTGAATGAAGTATGAGAGGGTGAAAATATGAAGAGTAATGGCGAACGGGAAAAATAAAAGTGTCCAGGTACGGGAATCGAACCCACAACCTTCTGCTTACCGGGCAGGTGCCATGTCCACTAGGCTACCCTGGACGTTATTTCTCCGTTCGTAAATAATACTTAAAGTAACTTATAATACATTATAAAGGACTGCGGCGTGTGATTATAAACAATACTTAAAATTATACCGCATAAGTTTCTTTTCTATGAAAAATCAATATTTATTTTAAAGAGAAATATTTACTATTTCTAACTTTTTTGAATGAAGTATGAGAGGGTGAAAATATGAAGAGTAATGGCGAACGGGAAAAATAAAAGTGTCCAGGTACGGGAATCGAACCCACAACCTTCTGCTTACCGGGCAGGTGCCATGTCCACTAGGCTACCCTGGACGTTATTTCTCCGTTCGTAAATAATACTTAAAGTAACTTATAATACATTATAAAGGACTGCGGCGTGTGATTATAAACAATACTTAAAATTATACCGCATAAGTTTCTTTTCTATGAAAAATCAATATTTATTTTAAAGAGAAATATTTACTATTTCTAACTTTTTTGAATGAAGTATGAGAGGGTGAAAATATGAAGAGTAATGGCGAACGGGAATATTGATTTTTCATAGAAAAGAAACTTATGCGGTATAATTTTAAGTATTGTTTATAATCACACGCCGCAGTCCTTTATAATGTATTATAAGTTACTTTAAGTATTATTTACGAACGGAGAAATAACGTCCAGGGTAGCCTGGTGGACATGGCACCTGCCCGGTAAGCAGAAGGTTGTGGGTTCGATTCCCGCCCCTGGACACTTTTATTTTTCCCGTTCGCCATTACTCTTCATATTTTCACCCTCTCATACTTCATTCAAAAAAGTTAGAAATAGTAAATATTTCTCTTTAAAATAAATATTGATTTTTCATAGAAAAGAAACTTAAGCGGTATAATTTTAAGTATTGTTTATAATCACACGCCGCAGTCCTTTATAATAAATTTATATGCTAAAATTTATCTATGCAAATCAGATTCATTTTTAGGGGGTCGGTGGAAGGCTGGTTAAACCGTTTGGTTTTCGACCACTACGACCTGGGTTTGATTCCCGCATTGGACACTTTTTTTCTGTTTAAAAAAAAAAAATGCTCCAATGGCCCCCGATTCTTGCAAAAGTCCAACCCCACCAGCGAGTGCAAGTAACCAAACGGGGCTCTGGCATATTTGTAAGTGCAAAGTCGAATTGCTTTTCACATGTGTAGACATGTGGTGCGCTTACAGTAAAAGCAGTCGCTAACTACCCACCATGATTATCATGGCTTTGAGATAAGAAAGAAGAAGTGATTCATTTTAAATTTTTTTGGGTCTTTGAATTTATCAATTTTCTTGTCTGTTAATTGATCCATTTTGTTAAAATTCTAAATTATTTTGACCCATTTTTAAAATGGGGGCCTTTGGAGCATTTTTTTAAGACTATTATAATGAGGTCCTTTTGTATTGTGCCTCTTCTATTGGATTGATGAAAACATAAAGACTTGAAAGCTTGTAGTTTAAATAAAGAAACTCGTTGAAAAAATAACCTCATCCATTTTTCTCTCCATATAGATTCTACAGTGTTTGTAGCAAGTGTTGATCCTATAGTAACATCCTGGTCAAAATTATCTCTTAGCTTCTTGTGTTAGTGCTGCTGGGATCATTCCTCTAGTTGCCTCACACAGATTGCTGTGTTCAGGAGAAAGAAGATGTACTTCCCAAGCCATTGGAGAAGCAGGAACTTGTATGTTTCCATTGTATTTCTCTAACCAACTTTGGTTTCTCAAACTCTTGTGTTCACAGGAGGCATTGGCACCAGAGACGATGGTTGGTAGAGATCTCTTCTCTGTCTACCCTTTCTTCTTCAAGCTGGCCCAGCTCGAACCCTACACGTGAGTTGGATCTGCCATGGAAATGATATTATAGGGGTTACTTCTAATACAAGAACTTCACACACTATTAAATTATTTGGATTAGGTCTTATTTTCTTGTATTATAATCTATAATCCAAATTGTGCTTTATCATAGAGGTTACTTCTTTGAATACCTTTTCATTATAGATGACTCCCTGATCTTTAGGTATAGTCTTAGGTAGGGTTCCTGGAAACACACACATGAGGTTTAAGCTACATACAATAGGTTTCTGTTTGTACAGTAAAATCTCTCTCTTTTTTTTTAAAGGACACTTAGTTGCATAGCCAAAGTGTCCCTCAGAGAGATTTTTGTCTTCCAACCAGAAAGCTGCTGATTAATAAATAATGATTATCTAAAATATCCTTTATATCGATTCTATTTATATGTAACTAGACGAATGACCCGGGCAATGCCCGTGTTTTACCCGATTGAATGTTTTTATTCCAATACTATTTGTTACAATTATAAATTGGAGCCGTGGATGTCACTCTTGTGAAACGTCCCGCTCCAAACTTTACATGTACATTAGGTCAGCTGGTATTACCCCTCATTTTCACCGCTAGAGGCGCGAGCGAATTGACTTTTTGTAAATATACATAATTATAAAGATAGAAGCTTCTATAGAAGATAATGATCATAATGATGATGCGCGCGCATCCGTGACATGAGGTCGACAGATGGTCGTGACTATATATGTTGATAATAATAATAATAATAATAATAATATAATAATAATTATTATTATTATCATTAGATAATGATATAATGATCATAATGATGATGCGCGCGCATCCGTGACATGAGGTCGACAGACGGTCGTGACTATATGTGTTGATTATACTGTTTTATGTCGGTATAGTTTGCTCAAATACCATAACTAACCCACTACAGTGTCACATATATCAAAAGAATGGTCCAATACAGACAGTATTAGAGTTCTAGAAAGTGGTCTGATGGATTAAATTGATGAAACTGCTGAGAGTATTCATCAAAGATGAGCAAGGTCCTTTTTAAATATTTTTATCGCAGTAAGGAAGGACAGTAGAAAAGTTTATTGGTTTTAATTTGAAAAATAAAAATGTGTGCATAGTTTTGATATCTTCTCTAAAGCATCTTTGTGGAACCTGGATATGTGTGATGGCAGGGTGGGGCAGCAAGTATACAAGATACTACGGATTCTGCCCACGGATCCCTCACTGCTAGCTGAGCTGGACTCTGCTCTGGTGAGATTGTGCCTACTGCGGACTATGGCTTTGACTCATGTGTGTTGCCTTGGTAGTCCCAGCCCCACTATGGAGCCCAGAGCCTCTCCTCTTTGCTCCTCCCTGGGGACCCAATCCGACTCCAGTACAGTCTGGAGGTAAGATATCCACCACCACCACCTTTTTTTTATTTGCTTATCCCTAGTACATATGGTACAGGCCATGAATATCATGGTGGGTAGAAGTAGGCGACTGCTTTTACTGTAAGTGCACCACATGTCTATATCCACCACCTTCTTCCATCTAGTGTATACAGATCAACTCTTCTTTCTTATCTCTCAACTAGAATTTAATGGAAAAAATCAAAGATTCCCGAAATTCCCTAAATGCGATTTCCAGCCTGCCAGTCCTGAACATCTATTGAATTGTATCAAATCCTCCAAAAAAGACCTCTGGGAAAACCCCAGGACTATAATAGAAAAGCTGAGACAATGGAACCTGATGGAGATCGTTTAAACGATTTGAGGAATAAGCAACAACAACAACAGAATGTGTCTACTTTTGTCAAGCCAACTTCAAAAGAAATGGCCGCCTCTGACATGAGGAACAGACAGAATTGTTCTCTAATCATTCAAATAGGTTCCTGTATGTGCATTATTTTTGTATATAGAGAGGTGGTAAAATTGTTATTGTTTTTATGTTGGATTTAAGTCTGTGAAATGAATGATTAGTTCTTTTTTGATAATACAACAACAACAAAAAGCCTTTATTTAGGGCCTCTCGCCCTATACAGGATTCGCCAGTTCTTTTTTGATAATATGAGTTATAAAAAAAAATTGCTTCATTATAAAGATTGTAAAAGTCCTTCTTCCTCTTTCTTATCTCCACTCAATCATATTAGGGTATCAAGCTTGTAAAGCTTGAGATTTTGATGGTGTCTGCTGGGGATGAGTAGAGCTCATCAATGGATGAGTCAATACAGCCAATAATGTGTTGATGTCATGATGGTTGTAAAAGTCCTAAATTGATAGAATACTCTTTTTATAGGACACCTCTCTACAAAGGACAGTTTTCATCATCAAAATCACCGTTCCTACTAAAAAGCATGAAATCATGATTTTTATTATTATTTGCTACAGGTAATTATATAACCTATAATATGAATCCAAACTGTTAATACTAATTAGAATCTTTTCAGTAAGAGGACACCTCTCCTAAAAAGAAAACTTTGGCCCTGCAACTAGGTGTTGAGAGAGGTTCTGTTGTTTTTTCTTATCCCCTTATGTAAAGATTACATGAATTCCATGAGTCCATGCTCCTCGAGCTGTTTTATGATAAGCAGCAGCCTCTCCCAAAGGTCCTACTAAGGTTCTACTGTATATGAACTAAATGGCGATGCATTTTAAAGAGAAACTTGGAAATTTATAACATGAAATACAGAACAAACTAATGAATATTTGTCTATCAGACTAAGGCACAAGGTATATAATGGTGTCAATATTGTAGCTGCTCTGTGGCAGGCTCTCTATGCCAAGTGTTTCGGCCCTTACTCCCGCCTGGACAAACAGCAATGCTGCACTCACCTCGTCCAATCCGGAACCTTCAAACATATCCTGGGACTGCTGAGAGTGCCGGACCTCTCCGCAGGATGCCTGATGCAGATCCTCAACCTTGCCCTGTATGTGTTGTGTTGATCTCTGCGCCATCCGGTTACAAATTCTTGTTGTTCCAGCCATGTCCTGAGTTCTCCTGGGGACTGGGCTACTGCTTTTGAGGTGAGCAGCTTCTTTTCCTACCTCTACACTCACATCAGACAAAAAATACAGAATAAATCCAAATGAATCCAAAGTTAATATAACAGCATAACTTGGTTGTTGTTTCTTATCCCTTTGTGGAAAGATTACAACACACTCTGCATGAGTCCACGCTCCTCGAGCTGTTTTATGATAAGCAGGGGCCTCTCTCAAAGATCCCGTGTCTATTCACTGTCTCTCGGTACTGTTCTGTCCTGGCTTGGCTGGTTGGACTTTTTACACTCACATCAAAACTTGTCTTTATCCCTTCATCTTAAATTCTTTGACTACAATTGCATTCAGTGTGGACAGTGGAATCACACTATTATAGCCTCTTTTATAACAGCAACGTGATTATAACATCATAATTCTAGCATACTGAGTTTTAAGTCCTAATTGTCTTAACCATGGTTATAACAACCAAATTATGATGCATTAGCGCGCCATTATTTTTTTCATTGC